CGACTGTGCGACTGAACAACAGCAACAAAAAAAGCCAGCCAGGCATTGGCTCAGGACAACTACAGAAGCATCAAAGGGGTCCATCAGCATATTGATACAGAATAAGTACTAGAGAAAGGGTGTGCAGGCAACAGAGTAAAGCTGCTGCTGCACAGGATCAGACCATGGCACAGGAAGGGCCATGACTCAGTGGTAGAGTATCTGCTTGGCGTGCAGAACTTCCCAGGTTCAATCCCCGGCATCACTGGTAAGGACCAGATGGTATGTGATGTGAGAGACTTTTATCTGCCTCAGACCCCAGTGAGCCGTTGCCACTGGCCAGTTTAAGGTCATGCACATTGGGATAAAAAAATCCCACCTTCAAGTATAAGCTAAAGGGGTCTGAACTTGCTGAGACCAAGAGGGGAAAAGATCTTGGGGTCATAGTGGATAGCTCAATGAAAATGTCAACCCAGTGGCTGCAGCAGTGGCCGTTTTCTCCAGGTGAACTAATCTCTGTTGCCTGGAGACCAGTGTTCCCTCTAAGCTGAGTTAGTGTGAGCTAGCTCACAGTTTTTTTAGCCTCCGGCTTACATATTTTTGTCTCAGCTCAGGAAGGATGGCTCCAGAGCAAACTTATTGATGCAGTAGCTAAATTGCTCGCTCACAACTTTAATGCCAGTAGCTCACAAAGAAGAATTTTTGCTCACAAGACTCCACACCTTAGAGGGAACAGTGGAGACCAGTTGTAATAGTGGAAGATCTCCGGCCAGCAGGTTTATTTAGAGAAAACAAGGGGAAAACACAGTGCACGGATGTATCAAAAACAAATGAACGCTGCAAATGCAATTAACAAGTCTTATATCAATGCCTTTAAATAAATATTTTGAAATACCAAATGGCTGTATAGTCTGAAAGTTTTCTTATAACAACTCCAAAAGTATTTACGTAATATCAAGTCAAAAGCTGATATGCTGCACTGAAGCGCTTGATGGCTGGGAGGCTACTGGCTGAAAGAGAGTTCCTAGAGCCTTGGTTCCAACTTGAATTTTGATCTCCACAATGGAAGGGAGATGCAGCTTTGAAAAAGAGGACGAAAACAGGTTTATATGCCTAGGATACACGTCGCTGCATAACTTCCAGTTGTTGATCTGTTACATAAATTAGTCATATTGAGAACTGCACAACTAGTAGAGTTCTGCTCATGATTGTTGCATTTTGAGAGTTTGGGAACTTTATGTGTTACATTACAACTCTGGCTTAGAGCTTTTGACTTTGTATTAAATACTTCTGGAGTTGTTATAAGACACAGAGTTAGAAGGGATCCTAGAGGTCACCCACTCCCACCCCCTTGCTCAGTGCCGGAATTAGTCAACTACAGCACCCCACTCTGCTTAAAGGAACTCATGCCTTTGAAAAAAATGTTTTTAAATGATTGGAAAAAAGCATTTAAAGGAGAAATTCTTGTGGGGCTGTGCCTTTAAGAACCCACAAAAGCTCAACCGTGGCTACAGGCCTGCAGGTAAGCAATATGGACCTGACTCTCTTGCTGTGGCAAGTAGACTGCCTGCTTGTTGTGCTGGGAGTTTCATGAGAAATGCACACAATGCATATGAGATTGAGATAGGCGGCAGCCTGAGAAAGGGGTCTTCTCAGTTGTGGCACCAGAACAATGGAATTACCTCCACAGGGAGATTCCTTTCCTTTTCTCCCCTTTCCTTTTATCCAATAAAAGCTCTATGATACATTGATCTTTAGCAGTGAATGGTTGTTGTTAGTTATCATCCAATAGACAAAACGTTAAGAAAATGACTGCTAGAGTTCATTTTGGATCCCTGTCAGGAAGTAAAAAGGTAACTAGGTCATCGGAATACATGTCAGAATGAACTTGCAAACACAGTGGAATATAACAACTCCTGAGATTAGCATACACAGGATACTCCAGAAGGATATGCACTATTGTGTCAATCTTACCTAAGGATCAGGGGCAAATTCATTTTGAATAAGGTAAACACATGAACCTACCCCTCATAACTGTGGAGGAGTGAGCATTTATTCTGGCCAGAACGAACAACCTTATCAGGCTTTGGGAAGACAACAAACAAATGTAGGAGGGAAGAGATTTTGCAGGTGGAATACCAAAAAAAGGGGGGGGGGATGATGGGTGTGGCATGCTCTAAAGGCAGAGCTTTGGTGATGGATTGATTTCACACAATTTCTAACCAGGTTAACATCAAGAGCCAATAGTTTCTCAAAAACAGTCTTAAACCACATTGACCTATAGGAGTCTTCTTTCAGGAGTGCCAGATAGCCCTTGCTGCTCAAGTATAACTTGAGGAACAGTCTAAATTCTTGTAACCAAGCCCTTGCCTCATGGGAAGGTTGGCCCAGTTCTGAATGGAGAGCCACACCAGCCACACAGTGAGGAATGTTTAATCATTTCCACAGAAAATACAAAAGAAGATAGTCAATATTTTCATTTACTGAGATAATCCTTGTGGCTACTCAGTAAAGGATAATAGGAACGACTTTTAGGTTAAAGATTTGAACAGCGGCTGGAACATAGTTTCCATCTCCATAAGGTGGTCAAGTCCCTTCACCGTCGCGTCGGAGGGATCTGGGGGGCATTCGGGGGGTGGGTAGGACATCACCCACAATGTCCCCAATGTAATGACATCAGTGATGTCATCAAGTCCATGATGTTGCACATGATGCTCTGGTTTGGGGGCAAAACTCTATGGTTTTTTGGCTTCAAAACCATAAAGTTTGCCCTAAAACCAGAGCATCACTGCATGACATCCCTGACATGATGCTGTCACCCGGAAGGGATGTCATCACGTTGAAAGCATGGCATGACAAAGTCCCTGCTTGGGGGTGGGGTTTTCCCCACTGGCCAGTTGACTGGGGGTGGATCGAAGCCCCCAAAGGGTCCTAGGCAGTGGTAACCCTACACCTCCATTTTGGAAAAAGTTTAATATACTATCAGCACAGGTTTTTGTTTTTCTCCTTATCGGTGACTGTGGCCTCCATTTTAGATTATATGAGGAAAAGATACCCAAATATGAAAATTCCTTCACTTGCTAGATTTCCCCCCCATTCAGAGTCCATCTGAACACTGAAAGATTCACCACAGGGAGGTTCATCTGGCCTGGTCAGCCGGTGTTCCCTCAATGATTCTCATTCCTATCTGTGTTTGTTCAGTCGTGGTTCTTAATTGTCTTCTATATATGTATTTTTAAGATGGCTTTAATGTTAATGCCTTGAGGACCCCATGGTATGTTCGCTGGACAGGCAGCACAGAGATTTTTAAAATTAATGCAATATTTCTGTGAATGCATGGAGAAGCATGTCTCCAAGTTTGATTGAAGAAAAATGTGGAGACCCCCCCTATTGACGGCTTGTTAAAATGCTGTTCTCTTTGGTCCCTTGACATTGTAATTGTCTTAATATTATTTGTTGAGGCGCTAGCACAAAATGATTTCAAAATGAAGCCCATCAATCTCTCAGCACGTTCATCTTCTGATCTTTATACCATATACTTGGTGACTTGGTGGATCAATTGCTTGGCTTTTCCAGAACTTTGAGATCCACAAGCACATTTTCTTGCATCAAGGAAAACAAGGGTTTTGAAGATTGTGACAAAGATAGCATTGTGCAGGTATTCTTGGAGGCAATTCCAGGCATAAGGAGCAGTAGGGGGGGAAAAGAACGGTGGTATGAGAGAGTAGGAAGCCAAAGATGGTGGAGATGGAGGGTGAAGACCACAGGCCACAGGCAGGGAAATATTAGGCTATGAAAATGAGAAGAAAAAGGGAGGCAAAGCCATACAGGCCCTTGAAAAGGAAGAATGAGATGTTCATAGAAGATGGTGGAGATGGAGGGTGAAGATCACAGGAAGGGAAACTTCAGGATACAAAAGTAGAGAGACACAGGGAGGCAAAGCCAAAGTGGTCCTTCAAAGGTAAGAATGAGATGTTCGTGGAAGATAGAGGGTGAAGATCACAGGTAAGGAAACATTAGGACACAAACGTGGAGAGATACAGGGAGGCAAAGCTGTACAGGTCCTTGAAAAGTAAGAATGAGATGTTGTTGGGATTCTGAGATTCAAGATCGATGGTCATTTTGCAAACACAAGAGTCACATTACTTAAAAGAAAAATATCTTTACTACAAAACAAAATAAAGCATGGGTAGGGTACTTTGGATAAAAGGAATAAAACAAAAGGTTACATGCTTACAGTCACTTTCAGTACTTGCTAAGAGCTACATCTTTCTATCTTGGCTTCTAGCAAGGGCTTCCTGTCTGTTTCACACAAAGAGCCATAAAGCTTGTGAATACATGGATGCTAGATCAAAGCATTTCCACAGACAAGTTGTTAGTTGACCAATGCAAAGGTTACAGGTCACTTCATTAGGCTAAGCAACTCCCTCAAACTTTCCCACTGTAGAATACATTGTGTAACGTAACATCCTGTTTCCTAACAAACAACATTTAACTCTGTAATCACTGAAGTGTAAGCAACTTGAAACTCCAACAGATGTTCGTTCATGGAAGATGGTGGAGATGAAGGGTGAAGATCACAGGAAGGGAAATACCGTGCTATGAAAGCAAGGAAAGGAAAGGAAGGGAAGCAAAGCCATGGAGGTCCTTCAAAAGTAAGAATGAGATATTCATGCTGGATCTGAGAACAGATAGAAAGACAACATGAGAATTCAAGAACATGGAATGCCCCAAGATGACAAGAGGTAGCTTTGGCAGCAGAGTGCTGGTTAAGGCTGAGGGAATGAGCAGCACAAACAGATGTCCAACGATGACGTGGTTGCAGTAGTCAAGACAAGAAGTGACCATAGCTTGAACTGGGGTTTTCACCATGGAGACAGAGAGGAAAGGGTGTGTTGTAAAGGTTAGCAATCCAGAGCAGAAGTTCAGTAATTTATACCTATTTCTGCTAAATAAGGTCTCTACTTGAACACCAAGCCCTTAACAAAATCTGTCCTCTTCCTGTTTTTTTTCCATTTCAGAGTTTTTGGAAGAATTCCCAGGCGATGGCAGAGAATGTGTCAACTGCGGGGCAATGTCCACCCCACTCTGGAGGAAGGATGGCACCGGGCACTACCTGTGTAACGCCTGTGGGCTCTATCACAAAATGAATGGCATTAACCGGCCTCTCATCAAACCACAGAAAAGACTGGTAAGGCTGACAAAATGCTTTTCCTGTAGACCAATCTGGGAACCTGTTGAATTCATGGATTATCTTGTCTGATCATCTTGTCTGGGGTCAAGGAGGAGAGAAAAGGTTTCTTCCTTACCTTACAATCAAGTAGGGCCAGGGCTATTTTTGGGCAGGAACGCACAGGAACGGAGTTCCAGCTGGCGCCCAAGCTGGCCACGCCCAGCAGGAACTCATTAGCATAATAGGCCACACCCAACAGAAGAAACTCATTAGGATTGGCGACATTAGGGGTGTGTGGCCTAACATGCAAAGGAGTTCCTGCTACAAAAAAGCCCTGGGTTTTGACAACAAACAAGGTAAACAGAATAACAAGCAAAAGGTGGATGTGGCTGGATAAACACTCTTCTGGTAACATGAGGGTATGGCCTAATATGCTAATGAGCTGTGCTGTCAGGGGTGTGGCCCAACATGCTAATGAGTTTCTGCTGTTGGGTGTGGCCTATTATGCTAAAGAGTTCCTGCTGGGTTTTTCTACAAAAAGAGCCCTGAGTAGGGCAATGATCCCGCGCTGATTTTTTATGAATATATACAGCTACTGGTCTAGTATAATCTTATCTTGTTATTCTTCCAAGTCGTTTATGGCAGGAGACATGGTCTCCCTTCCTTATTTTATCACCATAACCCTACAGAATGTGGAGTAAGCTACAGAGAGTGTAACTGGCCCAAGTTCACCTTGTGAGCCTCTTGGCAGTGTGCTGGTGGAAAGCGCTGTCAAGTTGCAGCCAACTTATGGCAACGCCACAGGGTCTTCGAGGCAAGAGATGCTCAGAGGTGGTTTGCCATTGCCTGCGTTTGTGTATTCCTTGGTGGTCTCCTATCCAAGTACAAACCAGGACTGATCTTACTTAGTTTCTGAGATCTGACTAGATAAGGCAAGCCTGGACCATCCAGGCCAGGGTCCTGGTAGTATACAGATGCCTTTTATGGAGTCAGACCGGTTCATCTTTTCCGTGTGGTTTGGTTCTATTTCTCAAGTTTTCCAGAAGATTTGCATTTCACTAAGATGTTCTTTGTTTGAGTCCTGCTGGGCTGGTCTTCTGGCAGGGTTGCTAACCTCCGGGTGGTCACTGGACATCTCCTGGGATTACAACGGATCTCCAGGCAACAGAGATCAGCTCACCTGGAGAAAATGCCCAGTTTGGAAGGTGGTCTCTGTGGTATCATACTCCAAAGACATTCCCAAAGCCTTCCCTCCCCAGGCTCCACCCCCTCCACCCCAAATGTCCTTTTCAGTGGTGGCCCCTACCTGGTGGAACGAGCTCCCGGAGGAGATCAGGGCCCTGTGGGACCTCTCACAGTTCCGCAGGGCCTGCAAGACGGAGCTCTTCCACCAGGCATACAATTAGGGGCCACCACCGCCCTAGTGCATGGCCCGTAATGTTAACATCGAGCAGCTGCCTCAAGAATGAGCAGAATATCATCTAAACACTTTGTGGAATAACATCGAAGCACTTTGTTGGAAAGCACTTTATTCATTTGATTTTTAAGTGCCGCCAGTATTCTGATATTTTGTAATGCACTATTTTACATGCTGTGTTTTAATTCTGTATTGTTTATGTTTTTATTCTGTATTGTTGTGTTTGTTGTTGGAAGCCGCCCTGAGCCTGCTTTGCGGGGAGGGTGGGGTATACATTTGACTATAAATAAATAAATAAACTAGGTGGACCAAGTGGAACATCTATGTTCAGAGGCAGTGCTCTTGTGGATCCTACTTACTGAGGAAAAACAGAAGAGGGAAATTGCCCTTGCTTGTGTGGGCTTTCTAGAAGCCTGTGTCTGTCTCCTGTTGAGACCGGATGCTGTGCTAGATGGACTTTTAGGGTGGTCAGGCAAGGGAGGTCTTCTATTTCTAGGCTTGGTACAAAATGAAGGTACAAGCGGGGTGGCCAGCTCTGGGTTATGAAACATCTGGGGATTTGGGGGGGGGGTTGGCGACTGAGGAGGGTGGGGTTTGAAAGGGGAGGAACTACAGTGGGGTATAATGCCAGAGAGTCCACCTTACAAAGCGGCCTTTTTTTTTCTAGGTAGGCTGATCTCTGTTGCGTGGAAATCAGTTGTAATCCCAGGAGATCTCCAGTCACCACCTGGTAGTTGGCAACCTTAGGTGCAAGGAATTCAGGGGATCAATTTGCAGAAGGAAAGGTGCAAGCCAGAATGGAAATAGCATCAGAGTTCTTCTGGTGCACCCTCTCCGTTCAGGGAAAGGGGTGGCCAGATGTTGTTTTTTTTCTCTGCCTCAGTTGGTCATGGCTCCACATGAGCTAATTCACAGCTGAGACCGGTTTCACACAAGAGCTGCGCTGCGGTCACGCCTCAATTTGCCACGCTTCTATTGGACAATTCTCCACTCGAAGCCACGCGGCCACATTTTGACCCGCGGCTTTGCCCAATTTTCCCCACGGTTTTGTGATCCTGTTTTTTGAGGATCACGAAACCGCGGGGAAAATTGGGCGAAGCTGCTGGTCAAAATGGGGCCCCGTGGCTTTGAGTGGGAAATTGACCGATAGAAGCGGGGCAAAGGGAGGCACAACCATGGCTCAAGTGGTTAAGACGCTGAACTGCAGGCTGTGAAAAGTCAGTAGTTCAGCAGTTCGAGACCCGAGTTGCCGCATGACGGAGTGAGCTCCCGTCTCTAGTTCCAGCTCCTGCCAACGTAGCAGTTCGAAAGCAAGAAATTGCAAGTAGATAAATAGGGACCACTTCGGTGGGAAGGTAACAGCGTTCCGTGCGCCTTGGTGTTTAGTCATGCCGGCCACATGACCACGGAAACATCTTCGGACAGCGCTGGCTCTTCGGCTTTAAAACGGAGATGAGCACCGCAACCCTAGAGTTGGACTCAACTGGCTTTCGAGCAAGGGAACCTTTACCTTTAAGGGAAGTACAGCTTTAGCCATGGAGTAGGTATGCTTAACCCTATTAGGAATTTTGTTCAGGAGCCAATCCTGGATAGTTTTATGTGCCTGAATTGCTGACACAAAGGAGGATCAGCAGAACTGGGCAGGCAGCATCAAACAGCTATGCATCATATTTTCAAAGGCCAAAATGAGGAGAGTTAATGATTTATGGTGGTCCAAACCTCATTTTGGGGGTGAAACCCTTCAGACTCCCGTCAGTGTTTTTGGTTGAATTCACGACTAAGGAATGAATAAGGAACTGGGAATAAGGAACTTCAGCCTCCTGACTTGGGGAGGATCTCATTGGGGTATAATAATGCCATAGAGCCATTTTCTCCAAGGGAAGTTATCTTGGTCACCTGGAGATCAACTGTAATAGCGAGAGATCTCCAGGTGCCACCTGGAGGTTGGCAACTGTGCCCATAGGCCGTCTCCCCAAGGGACTTTTTTCCTCTTGGGACGTTGTGTCTCAGATTTCAGAGCATGAATGAGGGAGGCCGGAGGGAAGGGCAGGCTAAGAGGAAGTCAGCCAAGGAAGGAGGGCATTCTTTGTTGCCCTTTAAAATGAGATTCCCCTTCTTTCTCTTACTGTGTTGGGGCAGATCCAGGTCTCAATGCATAGGTCTGCAACCATCCGTCTCAGATTTCAGAGCATGAATGAGGGAGGCCGGAGGGAAGGGCAGGCTAAGAGGAAGTCAGCCAAGGAAGGAGGGCATTCTTTGTTGCCCTTTAAAATGAGATTCCCCTTCTTTCTCTTACTGTGTTGGGGCAGATCCAGGTCTCAATCAATGTTCCCTCTAAGCTGCATTAGTGCAAGCTAGCTCACAGTTTTTTAGCCTCCGGCTCACGCATTTTTGCCTTAGCTCAGGCAGGGCCGTAGCTAACCCCTTCCTTGTGGGGAGGCCCTGGGGAAAGTGAGGAGGCCAGAGTGTGTGTGTGCACGCGCGAAGCGCGCGCGTGCCGCGAACACATCACCCGGAAGTGACGGGGCGCGGGGCGGGAGGAAGAAGAAGAAGGGGGATGGGCTGCCAAATCCAGGTTGAGAAACTCCTGTTGATTTGGGGATGTAGCCTGGGGAGGGCAAGGAGCTTAGTGGGGTACAACGCCCTAGACTGGGTCCACCCTCCAAAGCCTCCATTTTCTCCAGGACAACTGATATCTAGTCTGGACAGGAGCTGCAATTCCGGGGGTCCCCAGGCACCACCTGGGGGCTGGCACCCCTAATGCCTCCTCCTCACCTGGTCATGGGAGGCGGGCGGTGGGCCTTGCCCGAGGCAGTAGAGGTAGAAGACCTTGTAAAGCCCAGGGCTTCCCGGTGCTGTCAGGGAGCTCCAAACACAAATCCTCGCGGTTTTCACAGGGCGACACCTGAACTCCATCCCCAAATACAGGGCTTGGTGGTGTCGCTCTTGGGCGAAACTGCAGAGATCCAAGAGCTGGATGCCAACGACTTTTGCAAGGGGGCATCCCCCGTTATTTCATGGCGCAACTTGAGAGCAGAGGCGATGACACAGATCACACAGCGGCCCCTTCCCCCCAGGTCCGGACTGTTAGGTCACCCTCGGAAGCCCCAAGCACAGGACTGTCAGTGCGGCCTGGTCCGTCAGTCCGGGCACAGAAAGAATGCAATTCCAGGAGGAAAAGTGGAGATTCTGCCAGAGACCTTTTCCACCGGGGCTTGGTAGCCAGCAGGCAGAGCTGCAGGAAGCAAGCCGACTGCCGCTGCACCCGCAACCGCCACTCGGCCAGCTCGGGGGCCGGCGGGAGGCGCTCGGCGGGAAGCAAGCGGGCCAGGCCGCCAGCCAACTTGGGCCGCCCTCCCTCGGCGGGCGCCAGCAAAATGACGCCAGCCTCGACAGTCTCCCGGATGGCGCAGATGCAGAAGGCCACGTCGCTGGCAGCGGCGAGCCCAGCTCGGGTCGCTCGGTGGCGAAGAGCGGCGCACGGGGCCCGCCCGCCTTCACGGGGCCCAGCCCACAGCGCGGCGGCGGCTCAAGCAGCAGCTTCAGCCACTCGGCCGAGAAGTCGGCCACGTCCACCGCGCCGCCTGGGAAGACGTTGGGG